GAGCCAGCATGGAGGTAATTCGGGAGGGGGCTCTCGCGTGCCAGCCCCAGGAGGCACCTGCACCCCCTTCTACAACTTGCCTCACCTGAAGCACCTGAGCCTTTGCAAGAACAACATCACCAAGCTGCAGCCCTACGCCTTCAGCCAGACCTCGCTGCTCTCCCTAGACCTGTCGGGGAACGAGGACTTGTTCGTGCCCAAGGAAGCGCTGGTGGGGCTGGAGTTCTCCCTGCAGAAGCTCTCTCTGAGGGGCAACCAGATGGGTGACGGCAAGGCAGAGCTCCCCTGCCTGAACGCCCTCAAAGTCTTGGACCTCTCGGGCAATAATTTGAGCCTTTTGCCCACGGGGCTTTCCTGCTCCCCGCTGGAAAGCCTGGACGTGCGCGATAACAACCTGCCGACGTTGGAAAAGCCGGCGCTCGCCAGCTGGACCCGCAGCCTGAAGGACGTGTCCGTCGCTGGAAACCCCTTCGGCTGCTGCTCGCTGGGCTGGCTGGACGCGCTGCGGGCGGCCGGCGTGGGCATGCCGGACCTGGATGAAGCCATCTGCGCCTACCGGGATGGCAGCAGGAACTTCTCAGCCAAGATAACCAGTAGTCCTCGGTGGCTTTGTCCACGTCCTGAGGGCACCGGCTCGCTGGCTCTGCTCGTGGTCCTGATGAGCCTCTTCTTCCTCAGCTCCGGGGCGTGCTGCCTTCTGAAGAAAGGGCAGAAGTCGCCAGGGTGCGCGGGACTCCACAGCAACAGGGTGGGGGTCTTCCCCCCCGAGCCCAAAAGAGAGGAGCCCACCGAGGCGAGGCCAGCAGACACCCAAGTGTAGCCCAGTCTCGCGGGGCAGGAGCTGTAGCCATCGGTCAGAACTCTAATTATTGTTAATAATATTAATAATATTATTGTATTTTAGGTCTCCTCCGCTCACTGGTGTCCTGCGTGTTCTGCAAACCCAATAAAGGGAGCGCGGTTGGTGCTGAGCCCTGGGCTGGGCAGAGGTGGTCTCTGGGCCACCTCTCCCTCTCGAGAAGGAAGGTGTCCCCATCTCTTCTGTTCTACATAAGAAATGAAATGCCCTACAAGCAATCACGGGTGGGTTTTGCGCCCCGCCATCACACATTCTCATCACCCAGGACAAGAAACCAAGCTGTGGGCTGCCTGCCTGCCCCCACCTCAACACCAAACCCATCAAGCTCTGCTTGTGGAAAGGGAATTTTCTCCATTGGGGCCACCTGGGTGTTTCAGAGCTTTCCCAGCAGCCTCTCTCTGCCTTTGAAGTGGGTTCAATAGCTCAGCTCAGTACCTGCCCCTGCTCCTGAAAGCTCTCCCCAGCCCAGGGCTGAGGCAGTGGTGCGGGAGGGGGGCTCCAGCCATGGTGGGTGACAGTGCTGGGGTGGGAGGGGGGTTCTGCAGGATCCTACGTGCCTTTCTTCTGCCTTTTCCTGCCAAGCTGGCATGCGAACGATGCTGTGAAGTTGGCAGGGCTTAAAATGAGCCCAGGCACCGCTGCGGGTGCCGGAAGGAAATCTGCCTTGTCCTCACCCGTTGAGGTAGTGAGAATGGGAGAAAACCAGTTGTGTGCTGTCCTGGCTGATGCTGGGTCATGGGCTCTTTGAGGTGGGTGCAGGACATTCCACCCTGGGCGCCTGGACTCCTGCAGCAGTGGCGGCGGCGGCAGAGGCAGCTCGATCTCCATCACAGGTGGTAAGCACTGGCAGAACCATGGTCCTCGGTCTCACACCCTCTGAGCATCTGATCCCCATGCACCCAGTGTTTAATTCGGGGGGGCCTGGGACCCCGGCTAGGGAGGGTGGCAGGAGAAGGTGCTAAGCGGGACGGTGAGCCGCGCCGGCGATGCGGGATGACGGCTGTCGCGGTGCGATGGACGCGATGCTCCCACAGCCGGCCGTCTGTCCCAGTGCCACGTGTCCACCTTCCCAGGGCAGAGTGGTGCTGCGCCCCCCAGCACAGCAGCTGGGTGCTGGGGAGCACCTGAAGGGCTGGGAGCAGCTCTGGGAAGGGTGAAAATAAGGCTGCAACGAAACCTCTTCTGTTTCACCTCTCTTTGGTTCCACCTTGAAAGTCCCCAGCTGGCCCAGGCCACCTCCTTGTGCACACACCTGTGGGTGGGTGGGTTGGAGGATGTGAGAGCAAAAGGGCTTGGAAGTCACTTAAAATCCCAATTACTTAACTGTCTCTTTTGGGTTTTTTTTCCTTTCAAGCTTATTGTGGTTTT